GGGGAAAAAATGGGGAAAAATGGGAAAAAACAGGGAAAAAACCAGCAGGACTGGGGAAAAATGGGGAAAATGGAAAAAAACAAAGATTTTCTCCAATCCCACCCCATTTTTTCCCATTTTTCAGGGTTTTTTTATTTGGAATTCTCTCCAATCCCACCCCATTTTTTCCCACTTTTTCTCATTTTTCAGGGTTTTTTTCAGGATTCTCTCCAATCCCACCCCATTTTTCAGAATTTTTTCATGATTCTCTCCAATCTCATGCCATTTTCTCCCGTTTTTTGGGGTTTTTTTTGGGGATTTTCTCCAATCCCACCTAGTTTTTCAAGGTTTTTTCAGGATTTTCTCCAATCCCACCCCTATTTTTCCCATTTTTCAGGATTTTTTTTCACGATTCTCTCCAATCCCACCCCATTTTTCCCTATTTTTCAGATTTTTTTCAGGATTTTCTCCAATCCCAACCCACTTTTCTGGATTTTTTTCAGGATTTTCTCCAATCCCACCCCATTTTTTCCCGTTTTTGGGGTTTTTTTGTCATTTCTCACCGTTCATCCTCCAGATCTTCACCTGGCGATCGTCGGCGCCGGACACGATGAGCGGCATGGACGGGTGGAACGCGGCCCAGTTCACACCACGGTCATGGCCCTGGGGGAAAACAGGGGAATTGGGGAAAAACCAGCAGGAATTGGGAAAAAATGGGGAAAAACGGGGGAAAAATAGTGGGAATTGGGAAAAAATGGGGAGAAATGGGGAAAAATGGGGGAAAAATAGTGGGAATTGGGACAAAAATGGGGAAAAATGGGGAAAAAACACAGGAAAATGGGGAAAAATGGGAAAAATTGGGGAAAAAATAGCAGGAATGGGGAAAAAACAGTGGGAATTGGGAAAAAAACGGGGAAAAAATACTGGGAATTGGGAAAAATGGGAAAAAACAGCAGAAATTGGGGAAAAATGGGGAAAAATGGGGAAAAAATACTGGGAATTGGGAAAAATGGGAAAAAACAGCAGAAATTGGGGAAAAATGGGGAAAAATGGGGGAAAATGGGGAAAAACAGCAGGAATGGGGAAAAACCAGTGAGAATTGGGAAAAAAATGGGGAAAAATTGGGAAAAAACAGTGGGAATGGGGAAAAATGGGGAAAATGGGGAAAAATGGGGAGAAAATGGGGAGAAAATAGTGGGAATGGGGAAAAAATGGGGAAAAAACAGCAGGAATTGGGAAAAAATGGGAAAAAATGGCAGGAAATGGAAGAAAAAAAATGAGAGAAATGGAGAAAAAAAATGAGGAAAATGGAGGAAAAAAATGAGGAAAATGGAGGAAAAAAATGAGGATAATGGCTGAGCTCCAAAAACAATTCCTGGAAATTTCCCCTGGATTTCAGGGAATCCCAGAATTCCCAGAATTGCCAGGAAAGCCCCACCTCCAGGACGTGTTTGACCACGGCGTCGGTGGTGCCGAAGAGATCGACGCCGGTGATGCCGCGAACGTCCGACTCCACCGCCCCGGGGGACAGGTTCTTCTTCCTCAATCCTGGCAGAAATTCCCAAAAAATCAACAGAATTCAACAAAATTCCTGGGTTTTGTTATTTCCTGGGTGATTTCCCCATTTTTTCCCATTTTTTTTGGGATTTCTCACCCGAAATGTCCCAAATTTCTCCCTCTCTGATCCCTTTTCCCATTTTTTCCCATTTTTCCCCATTTTTTCCCATTTTTCCCCATTTTTTCCCATTTTTTCCAGGATTTCTCACCGGAAATGTCCCAAACCCTCACTGTCTGATCCCTTTTCCCATTTTTTCCCATTTTTTCCCACTTTTTCCAGGATTTCTCACCCGAAATGTCCCAAACCCTCCTGCTCTGATCCCTTTTCACATTTTCCCCATTTTTTCCCATTTTTCCAGGAATTCTCACTGGAAATGTCCCAAACCCTCACGGTTTGATCCTTTTTCCCATTTTTTCCCAATTTTTTCCCCATTTTTTCCCATTTTTCCCCTTTTTTTCCCATTTTTTCCAGGATTTCTGACCCGAAATGTCCCAAACTCTCCCATTTTTTCCCCATTTTTCCCCAATTTTTCCCCATTTTTCCCATTTTTCCAGGATTTCTCACCCGAAATGTCCCAAACCCTCACGGTCTGGTCCAGACTGGCCGACACCACCAGGTCCTCGCTGGGGTGGAACTGAGCACACATCACGTAGTGGTTGTGCCCTGTCAGGACACTGCCGGGGAAAAAACGGGAAAAATTCCATCAAAATTCCATCAAAACCTCGGGATTTATCCCCAAAATCCCACCTGAGC